AAAAAAAAAGGAATAAGGTAGATGAATCTCAGTGGCTAGATGAATCTCCTGATGAAGATGATTTATTGCGTGAAATTTAGTCCAATAAACCAATTACCAAGCTTCCCGCCAAAACATGTTCTTTTGATTTTAAAAAATGCAAATCATACACAATTGTTTAATCCGCAGCTTATATTCTTGAAATTTTGAATATGAAACGAATTTTCAAATAGTGGTTCCTCTTGCTACTTTGAATATTTCCAATACTTTGGGTGATGAACAGGTTCTTTTGATAACACTCAATATGAGATGTTTCATCAACTCATTCACGAGATGCAATAGGTCTGGCATTGGCATCAATTTGTTGCACATGTTGATGGATTCGAAAATGATACAATGATGCAAATCAACTACTTTGGAAGCACCACACCAATCATGAGACCAACTTTCAGTTACTCCGAGACAATGAAAATAATATTTTATTATCTTTGATGATTGTTTACAAATTTGGATTTTGAATTTCAGAGCAGATAACACCAAGTAACGTTCAAAATAGCATTCATTGCGTTAGATTTTCTCAAAGAAGAGACTCATAGTCACACCTACCTCTTACATGTTTGTGTCCACTTCGATTCTTGACACCAATATTATCTACAAGTCAAAAGCGACAAGGGGCATAATTGCTTGAAATAGTAAGAGGTTATCAAGTGGGGTTTAAACGAAAAAAATGACTGACTTTCCTCGAATCCAACAACTGGTTTCAACTAGTTCAAAAGGTTTTACCTTTGGCTTTTTTCACTTAACAAAAAAACACAACCATGACAAACATCTCCTCCTCTGAGAATATTGACACCAGCCAACATGTGTCTTACGAAATGAAGATTGTCTCACCACCAACAGGTTCCAATTTGACTTCATTGACAAGCCAAACAACCATTGATATCGTTGATATAGATAATCAAATGGCCAAAAGAGATTCAATTCACAAACAAAAGTCACTCCCATCATCATTGAAAACTCCACGTTCATCATCTGTAACCAAATTCTATAACAAGGCTTTCAAAATTCACACATGTTGTGGTATCTTGGAGCTGAACTGTTTGAAGCTTACAAGTATGATTGCTCTATCCATCAGTACAGTAGCATTCTGTTTATTGTTGGCAGCTATTTCTGTTAACTATTCGATTGTCACCAATTTGTACAACAATGTGCAAGTATTGCAAACAGACGCAAGCTACTATAGAGATTTGATGAAGCTCTCTTGTAGAGTTTCTGCTGTTTCAGAATACAATAGAACACTTTCTCTTCAATATACTGATTTATTCATGACCTATCATGATAAGTATTACGAGGTGCTCAATGTGTTACTTGTCTCCGTTCCAGACAATGTTGTCTATTCTAAAAGAAATAATATGAGCAGAGAAGATGTTAGATCAAGAAAAGCTGTCAAGGTAGAGCTATCAGTTGTAGATATGGTGAGAGCATCCAATTATACTCAAGCTATCAATACACTTGATTCATCACTTTATCAATACTATTTGGCCGGATATCCCGAAGAAGTTCAACCAGTTTTGGATTATGTTATTAACATGCAAAATCTGATTGCAGATGAAGACTTGGCCACAACCCTCATCTCACTCATTATCCTTGTTGTGTCTATGGTCATTGTGATTCCAGTGTTGGTTGCTTATATCGCGCTTTCAGTTAGAAAAGATACAACCAAGGAAAAGCAACTGAGACAAGTCAAAAAGTATATGCTGATGGACACAATCAATGATCCAGCTCTTAGTGAGAAATTCAAAGAATTTTGTAAAATTGAAAGAAGTGAAGAAAACTTTTTACTCCTTGAAAAGATTAGTGATTACAAAAAGTTGTGTGAGAGGAGCTTTGAGATTCAAGTCTTCCTTTACGATACTGACATTTTGAGTGGATCTGACCAATTCTCTGAAACCACAACCTCAAGTAATGAAGATGCATCCAAGAAGAAAAAGGGTAAGAAGGGTTTCACAGAAAAGGATTTATACGATATTGAAAAGAAAAAGTTTGAGATTGCATTTGAGATACACACAGACTTTTTGGATGTTAGAGGTGAACGATCTGTCAATACTAGCAAACAAATTGCTGATAATGTCAAACAATCTTTAGATTATTTTGCAAAGGGAGAGAATGAATCATTGCCTGAAAATCTGTTCGAAATTGTAGAATGTGAAATGTGTGTCTTGATGATGGACACTCATCATCGATTTAAGGTTGTGTATGAACAACAATTGAAAGAAAAGAGAAAAATCCTCACAACCATCAAGAGGAAAATTGAAAATAGAAAATAAATAATTAAATTTTACAGTTTTAAATCTTGGTTCCTGTTTGTTGCTTTCCAATTATCTAATACATTGAACATCAAGAATAAAAATTAATTCCAACATCTTAAAATTGTGTATTAATATATTAATTATTATTAAATATCATATTAATACAGCCAGATATCAAGCCAAAGAGAAATTTCTCTTTCGGAACATTAATGTCACAATCTTGTAACATTTTAAAATTAAGGTAATAATATTATTCCGTTTTTATGAACCTTCATGGCTACAACAATATTTAAATAATCAATATTAATTATATTTACAATTTGCACATCTTGTAAACTCATCACATCCAATTGTTTTCACACAAGAGATCTCTATCACTTGTCTGGTGTGTGTTGATGTTTTTTTAGATCTGCTTGTCAAGCTTGTTCATTGTCATCAAATAACCTGATACTCATTCGCACAACACTTGTCAAGCACACCTTTCATCTAAAAAAATTTAAATTGACAGATAGACATGGCAACATCGGATGAAAAACTCAGACTTTTCATTCGTTTCAGGCCTCATGTGTTAGCCATTGATCCACCAACAGCAGTCAAAGAAGATGCTACAAAATGTTGTGCTGCTTTTCACAAGTCTGGTAAAAAGTTATTGTTGAAGGTAAGCAAAGTGAATTAATTCACTTGTATTAATAATTATTATGATGAAATTATAATGCATCCAAAATGTCCGATCATGCTCAAATCGTTATGAAATTTGTATTTAATGGTGATGATTATGTTTTAATGTCGTACGATGATGAAATGAACACAATTTTACTACTATTTAATATAATTATTGATGATGTGGAACTCTTATACTATGAACAATAATTTCTCCTTCATCTCTTTTCTCCAACATATGCTACTAAATAATAATAATGCTAACAACAATAACAATAATACTATAGTATGGTGTGGAACAACCTAAAGAGTATCAATTTGATCGTGTTTTCAACATGAACACCTCTCAACAGGAAATATATGATGAAGTAGCCAAGCCTATGATTTCCACCTTCATGTCTGGTAAGAATGTAACCTTCCTCTCATGGGGAGCTCCACCAAAGTCTGGTAAAACCTTCACCATGTTTGGTTCGGAAGCTGTTAATCCAGCCTCTATCATTGATTGGCAAGAAGAAAAGGAAAATGATGGTGTTTTACCTCGTTTTGTTAGAGGTGTATTTGATGCTATTGTGGAGAGTGATGAGAGTTTGGAATTTACTATCAAGGTGAGTGTCTATGAGGTTTGGAGTGGAAGTGGTATTATTTGCGATTTGTTGAATGAAACTCACGTGCAACAACAAGGCTCTGAAGGTAAGTCATTATTTTACATGTTTTAATTGTTTGGCGCCCTTTTTGTTTGTTTTTAAAATTTACTGTAAAAAACAAATTTACTTCATCCTGATAATATAATTCATCTCGGAATATTCTTCTTCTTCTTCAACAACAACAACAACAATAACATATCATCCTGGATTTTTGAATAATTTTTTAATTATTAAAGAATTCAATGGTTTGGAATGTTTACTTCAGGAAGAAACTCAAGAGATTGAAATTAATGGCCTGATTGAACAATATGTTGGTGCTGATGATGAATTGTTGGAAATTTTGGCATCTTGTATCGGAAAGAGAAAATTGGAAAAGGTAAAGAAGGAAACCAAGTTTGCCTCCAACTTATTTGTAGAATTAACTGTGCAACAAAAGGACAATAATAAGCAAAAGGTAGTCAACAGCAAATTAACTGTTATAGATTTGGAATCTCCATTGGTTGGTGTCTCTGAAGAAGAAATGGAAGAATTGGAAAATGGTCACTTGACCTTCTATGATTTGTGCACATTGATTAATGATCCAAAGGCACAAGAAGATGATAGTCAATTCTATTCTTCGAGTTTATCTGCTATTCTCTATTCTCGTTCATTGCACAACACTTGTACAACAACAGTTGTAAATTGTTCTCCTGCCATTCCACATGCTGCTCAGTTTACAACAGACAATTTAGAGTTTGCTGATTCAACATTGAAGAATGTTGTAATCAGGGGTGTAAAATCTGAAAATTTAACACCTTATGGAACTGAATCAGAAGAAGGTGCAAACGAAAAAGTCTCCGACAAACAAGATAATGTACCTGTAGAACAAATCACCAAGACTATTGATAACACAGCCGATCAATTGATTTGTAAGTATATTATTATTAATTGAATTGAATTATTGAAATTGTTAAAAATAACAGCATCTGTTGCTACTGATTTGAAGAAATTGCAAGAAACTGAGAAGGAATATCATGCTCAAAAACAACAAATTAAGACGCTCCAAGGCAACTTAGAAGAATTGTCATCTCAATATCAATCATTGAATCAAGTCAATACATCCTTGAAGGATCAAATCGAACTTCTTCAAACTCAATTGAATGCCATTAAATTGTCAGAACAAGAGTTGAAAAAGAAGAATAGTGATGATGAAAATTTGATTAAGAAACAAATCGAGGAATTACAAACATTGAACAATACCATCTCTGAAAAGTTGAAAGAAGTTGAAAACCTCTCAGAACAAAAGAAAAAGCTTGAATCTAATCATGAATCATATAAGGTATCTGTTTCCTCCAAGATTGTACTTCTCTCCAAACAAATTAAACGTGCTAAAGCTGAAGTTAGAGAAAAACTCACAACTGATGTCAAGCAACTGTGTACAGCTGCCCAAAGCGCTCTTTTTGATACTATGGGACCATCCATTATTGAAACAGCCAAGAATCAACTCTCTCTCATTCAAATTGAAAATGAAAAGAACATGACTCGTATCAATAACCAATTAGAAGAAGCCAAGAAGGAAATTTCCAAATTGAAGGATGATATGAACAAGACACTAGAGGAAAAGAACAACCTCAAACAAGAACTTGACAAGCAAAAGCAAGCTGCCAGCGAATTGTCTCTCAAGATTGTAAATTTAGAAAAGCAAGAACAAGAATCATCGTTAAAGATTTCGACCATTCAAAAGGAAAACGACGATTTGGGTAATCAAGTTGAACAATTCAAGAATAACATTAATACCTTGAAGGACAACCTCAAACAATCTAAATCAGATTTGGAAAATGTTGAAAATCAATTAGAGGAAGAAAGAAAGTTGAAGAAGGATTTGGAAACAACCATCTCACAAAATAAGACCTCTATTGATACTCTTAACAACCAAATCGCTACAAAGGAGAAGGAAATTGAAGCTCTCAACAAGAGTATTGAAAGTGGAAAGGAATCTATTTCAACCTTGCAAAATACAATTTCAACAAAGGAACAAGAAATTTCCACTCTTAAGTCTGAAAAGTCCTCTCTAGAAACTAAACTCAAAGAGAGTGAAACCAAGCTCTCCGAAGAACAATCCAAGGTTTCTGATTTGGAGAGAAAGTTTTCATCCTCCCAAGAATCAATTTCCAAACTCGAAAAGACAATTGAAGAAAAGAATAAGGAAATTCAAATCTTGAATGCTAAAATCTCAGAAAATTCAATTGCTATTGAAAACTTGACTAACAGCAACACTGAGCTCAAGAAAGAAATTGAAGATCTCTCATCCCAACTCTCACAAAAGAAGGAAGAAGCTATCAAACTTCGTGATCGTGCTGAAAGAGCTGAAAAGCAAAATGAAACCCTCACTACTGAAAAGGTCAAGTCAGAGAGTACAATTACTCAAATCAAGACAAGTTTAGAAGAGGCTTCCAAGAAGGAAAGTGAATACAAACAAAATATCATCTCCTTGCAAGAGCAGTTGAGCAATACAGAGAACAAACTCAAGACCAAAGCTGAGGAAGCTAATTTACTCCAACAACAAATCAATAACTTGCAAGAAAAGAATGTTGAATCATCAACAGCTCTCGACAGTCAAAATAACACAAACTTGCAAAGAATCAAGGAACTTTCAGAAACAGTCACTCAATTGGAAGATGAAAAACTTAAACAAAAGAATCAGCTCCAACAAGAAATTGCCAGCTTACAACACAATTTGGAAAAGATTGGTAAGGAGAAGGAATCCATTTCTGAAGAACTTGAAACAATCAAGGGTAAGCTCGCCACTGAAACTGCAGAACTCTTAGAATGGAAGCAAAAGCATGAACAGGCTGTTGCCAGTTTGGAAGCTGCCGAAAAGTCAAAAGAAAAATTGGAAAAGACTTTTGAAAGTGAAAAAATCTCCCAACAAAAACAACACCAACAACAAGTTCAATTGTTGCAAGATGAGTTTAACAAGAATATGTCTGAAGAAAAATCCAATGCTCAAGGAAAGATTGACAAGTTAACTCAAGATCTTGAGGCCGCTGAAAAGAAATTGAGAGAATCCAAGTCAGAATTGGAAACCATCAAAACAACCTACGAAGAAAAGGTTACTGCTCTCGAAACTACAAAGAGTAAATTGGAGCAGGAATTATCAGATAAGAACTCAATGGTTACTTCAAATCTCTCTAGTGTCGAATCATTCAATGTAGAACGTAAGGAACTTCAAACCAAGATTGAATCATTGAATTCTATCATCTCTGAGAAGGAGAGTCAATACCAAAAATTGGTTGAAGAACGTGATCAAATCAAGAAGGATCTCCAAAATGAGAAGGAACTGGTAGCAACAACCAAGGCAAGTCTTCAATCAACCCAACAGGAATTGAGTTCTGTCAAATCAGATTTGGAAGTTCAAGTTGAAACCACCAACCAACTCAAAGTTTCACACAAGAAGGAATTGGAAACTCTTGAACAAACTTTGAAATCTGCTCACGAATTGGAAGTTTCTCAAGTGAAAAAACTTGTCTCTGAACAAGCAGAAAAAACGTCTCAAGCCGAAAAGAAGATTGAAGACAAGGAGAGTGAAATTGCTGCTATCAAAAATGAATGGAGTGAAGCCAAGACCAAGGCTGAGGAATTGGACATTTCCTTGAAGGAAGAACGACAAAAATCCCAAATTCTTATCCAACAAACAAAGAGCTCCTTAGAATTGGAAAAGAATAAGGCTGTTGAAGATGAGCGTAAACGTGTTGAAACTCAATTCGAAATTGAAACCAATGAAAAGATCAAGGAAATTAATGAAAAGCACTGTCAACAAATCAAGCAACAAGAAAGAAAGATTTCTGAAATTGAAAACCAAAAGAATGTAACAATTGAAGAACTCCAAAAGAAGTATCAACAAGATTTGGAGGAAGCAGTCAAGAAACAAAAGCAAGAAAAGCTCACCTTACAAAATGAAATTATGGAAATTTCAGATCAAATGGAAGAAAAGCAAAACACCATCAATGATTTGGAGCAACAATTGAGAGACAAGGAGGATGAATTTGAAGTCTCCAAAGCTGAATTGGAAGGCAAGTTTGACTCTGCCAATGATCATGCTAAAAAGTTGGAGAAGGAACTTTCTCAATACAAATCAAAATATGAAAAATTGGAAAAGGATAGCCAAAAATCAATCAAACAAACTGAAGAGCAAGTTTATGTCTTGAATTCTACTGTTTCTGAGCTCACCTCTGAAGTTGAAGAATTAAAGAAACAACTTCAAAGTGTCATGCGTGAAAAACTTGAACAAGAGCAAAAAGTTGCAACCCTCGAGAAGGAAAAGGAAGAACTTGCAAAAGCCAAACCAGTTGTTGTACAGAAAGAACCAGAGAAAGTCAAACCAACTGAACCAGAACAACAACAACCAAGACTTTCAGAACCAAAACATGTTGCTCTTCCACCTGAAAATTCACAACCTCGTCCATCCATTAGTGGTGAAACTGATGAAAATGGAACTGGTGCACCAAAGAAGATTGTTCGTGTAGTGAGGAGAACTGTTGTTGTAAAACCACCAACTGAAGCTGCCACTCCAAACACAACTCCACAACAAGCTTCAAACAACCAATCACCATCACCTTCCACTCCTACTAATTCCCGTGTTATTGGTACAAGTGGTTCCATCATTATGACCTCTCCTCCTCCAACAAGTGCCACATCTAATAATGACACCAATAATAGTAATACCAACAACATCAGTAGAGGAAGTACTTCATCATTCTCAGAGGAATCCACTGATTACTATGAAGATGATATTCAATTGAGTTCTCCAAACAAGTCTCGTGGAATGTTCACTTCCCACTCTTCAAATGATGATGAAACCAAAACAACCCAAAAGAAACGTGCCACAGTTCGTCTCCGTACAACTGTTGTTGCTTCAAATCCAATGACTACCTCATCTTCTACTGCTAATTCATCAATAACTTCATCTGTGTCTGACGATGTTGATTATGAACCTGAATTTACAGTTACAATTAATCCACTCATGGGTTCAGAAAAGTCGGGTGGTAGTTCAGCTTCATCCTCAACCACCACTGGCAGATCTGCTGTTGTAAAGACGAGTGTGAGAGGATCTGCTATTGGTTCCATTTCATCAAACAAATCGAGAAGTGAATCAATTCTCAGTAGTGGTGGTTCATCAGATTTGAAATTTGAAAAGGCAAAGAACAAGAATGGTTACTTGATTAAACAAGGTGGTGGATTCAAATCGTGGAAGAAGCGTTTCATGGCACTTGAACCACTCGAAGGTGGTAAAGCAAACCAATACCAGCTTTCCTATTATAAGAATCAAGGAGATCCAAAACCAATTAAGAGTGTTGCACTCAGAGGAACACGTATTCAAATGGCACCTGAAATTGAAAAGGAAGCCGGAAGGGCTAATTGCTTTAAATTATCAACCCTCAATAGAACATTTGTTTTCAATGCTGCCTCAGAAGAAGATCGTAGTGATTGGGTTGAAGCTTTGGAATTACTAATTACCTCATCTAATCGATTCTAATTTTTTATCAACCTATTCCAGTTCTGTAGTGGAATTTTCTACTCAACCAACATGTCAGTTCTAGTACCACATTCCGCAATGGAGTGTTAAATCTCGATATCTATCATAAATTATTTAATATTTATTTGTAATTCAATGTAAGAGGAGTTTCATCGCGCTCGCTATTCACTACCCGATGTGTTTTACCCTCCGAGCACAGTAATCTGTCATATTTTACAATAACCAATGACTTGAGTCAATAACCAATGTTACATACTCCCATGTGGTGACCTGTATGCAACCACTGTAATGTGAATTGCAAGTAACACACAAGCCGATTGATATTACAGTGGACGCATAATAAATATCTCTTCACAACAAGATCACACAACAGTAAAAAAAACAAATCAACAACTCATTCGAGTCCAACAATCAAATCAAATCACACAAAAATGAATTTTAACTTTGGCATGGGTACTCCTAATCAACCACCATATGGTCAACCACAAATGGGTGTTAATATGAATATGCAACCAAATCAACCTTATGGTCAACCACAAGTTGGTGTTTCCATGAATATGCCAGGATTCGGTGTCAATATGAATGTTCCAACTCAACAACCATACGGTCAACCACAATCTTTCGGTCAACCACAATACCAACAACAACCACAAATGGGTGTTTCCATGAATATGCCAGGATTTGGTGTTAATATGAACGTCCCACCTCAACAACAATACGGTCAACCTCAATATCACCAACAACCAACTGTTAATGCCAGTTTCTCCACAACCACAACTACCACAACCTCTGGATTCTCTCCACAACCACAAATGAGCAGTGGTGCTTTGGCTCAACAAATTATTGCTGCCTGCAGAAATGCTTCATTCGACAATGATAAGGTCAAGGCAGTTCAAACTTACTCCTCATCTCAATGTTGTCCAGTCAGTGGTGCTGATTTGGTCACCATTTTGAATTTGTTCGGTTTTGATAATGATAAGGTTAAGGCATTGACTCAATTGAAGCAAACTAACAATATTGGTCAAATGAGCTCAACTGAAGCTGCTTCTGTTTTGAGAGTTTTTGGATTTGATAATGATAAGATGAAGGCATTGGATTTGATTGTTACTTGTATTTATGATAGAAAGCAAGCTGCTGAAACTGTTGTTTCAGTTTTTGGATTCTCTAATGATCAATCAAAGGCCAGAACTTGTATGCTCACTCATTAATTGTAAAATATAATATTTAATTTATTCAAAAATTTTGAATTGTGTTGTTGTTGTTTCTGCTGACTTGTTGCTTTATAGAAAATGGTGTGTGAAATTTGTGGAGATGATTCAATCAATTACATGATCTTTTTAACAGTTTGGTATTAAATTTACCCATTTAGCCAAATAGATCAAGAAAGGAAATGTGTTATCGGATTATAATAGTACGGAGGACTTTCTAACCAATCATTTAATTAGCGTATGAATTCTATTATCTTCTTACAACAACTACAGTTTGTAAACATCATGGTGAATCAAGCTTCCGATCATGAAATGTTTTTTCAAAGTTTACAATCACGTTTCGAATTTTTATTCAATTTCCATTGATATCTTGTTACAGTTGAGTGTTGAGAGCAGTGGTATTGAAGGAATGTGAGATTGGCGAGGAGTGGTTCAGTATTGTTGTTGATTGGAGAGATTTCAAATGAAGAAATTCCATCTTCCATTGGTGTGAAATTAATTTTGTAAATAAATTTGTGTTTCACAGCCATGTTGGAAATGTAGAATGAATTGTAGAGATCAATTTCAAAAAACAAGTTTCAAAAAAATGAAAGAACCAAACAATACTAATCAAAATTTTGTTGATCAAAGTAAATCATTGACTAATTATGAAAGAGTAGAATATTATGAAACTAATCAAACTAAAGGTATTGGAAACCATATGAGTGATCCAATTACTCTGAATGTTGGCGGAACTCTCTTTACTGTTTCCGTAACCACTTTTATTAACAATCCAATAGAACCAGCCAATGAATTTGGTAAAATAATTTCTGGTCAACTGTCAAATGCCAATCAACCAATTTTCATAGATTGTGATCCGAAGATTTTCAAATTACTTTACAATTGGTTAAAGTTTAAAATTGTTGGTGAAATCACAAGTGACATCAAACAGGAATTTCTCTGCACCTGTCAAATGTTCAACTTTTCAAAATTACTAAAACAGGAATCACACAATTACAATCCAATTACCATGAAAGAATTCATCCAAATGATGCAATCAACTCAGCATAAAGTTTGGTTAAACAGTTATGACATGAGAAAGCTAAAATTGGCAAAAGCTAATTTGACAGATTGCACATTTACTAATTGTAATTTTAGTGGAATGGATTTACGTGGTATTGTTTTAGATAGATCCAATTTGAAAGGAAGTGTTTTTAGTGGTTGCAACATGTCAAATGCCACTTTGAAAAATTGCTGCTTGGTAGAATGTAATTTTGAAGGTTGTGATTTGACAAGAACTACTTTAGCCCACTCAAGTATTACTCGTTCTTCATTTAAAAGAGCAATATTACCGAACAGTGATCTCTCATGCTGTAACTTGTCAAATTCTAATTTGGAAAATATTGATTTTGACTCAGTTGACTTGACAAAGGCAATTATTTGGGAAAGTAATTTAACTAATTCAAAGTTATCAAACTGTATCATCAAAGGAACTCATTTCAAGAAGCTTCATGTGCCTGGTTTTGAAGCTGTCAATTGTCAATTCAACCAATCAGTATTTGAAGAAATGGATTTCAATCTCAAAGCCAAATTTCAACAATGCACATTCAAGAGAATTGATTTTAGAAATTCATTGAGAGATTTATCACCTTATGAAGGAAATATATTCGATTCTTGCCTTATTGATTTTTCATTATTCGAAACGAGAGAAATTAAGGACATTCGTTTCCAAAATATTGACCTTTCCAATCAAAATTTGATTAGATTTTCATTTATTAATACATTCTTTGATCAATGCAATTGGAATGGTTGCGAATATGATTCATCTAGTTTCGAACATATCAATTCGAAACTAATTACAGACAAAAACCTAATCAGAAATCTCATTTCTCTCACAAAAAGCAAGCCAACTATCGAACTTCTTTATAGAGCTACCAGAGATGGATTTAGTGCGAAAAACTTCCATGAAAAATGTGACAACAAAGGTCCAACTCTGTCACTAATCAAATCTGAACATGGTAATATATTTGGAGGCTACACATCTGTTAGTTGGCAATCACCAGAAAATGCAACCTACTTTCCAGATGAATCTGTCTTCCTTTTTAAGGTAATTGATGTAAATGGTCAACTAGAATTGAAAGTGTTAAAACTTCAAAATGGAAAACAAAGTAATTCAGTACTCATGAGAGATATTTATTCAGTTTCGTATGGATTTCCTTGTGATTTGTATATTTGCAATGAGAGTGCTACAGGTGATTATTCTTATTCGAATCTTGGAGGATCTTTCGAATTGCCTGAGGGAATTGTGGAAGGAAGTCAACAAGCTGGAAATTATTTACATGGTGGAACAAGAAATAATTTCAAAGTTAAGGAAATTGAGGTTTTCAAGATTAATTTATAACAATTCGAAATTTAAAAATAATAAAAAAACAATGAAATTTGAAAATTCCAATAAATTGTAGTTGTTACAGCATATTATAACAACAACAAAACAATAACCAAATACAATTTATTGGAAATTGACTACTTTTGGGTTGTGATTACTGTGTTTGAATCTTTATACGAAACTGAGCTGGCACAAACTCTCATGTTTGCTTCTGTTTCTTCCCTTCCACATATTTTCTATGTAGCAAGTGCTGCGTGAAGTATATGTTGAAATACGAATTTCATGGCTGTTCATCTATTCCAGTAAATTATAATTGCAGATTGGGTAAGTTTAAAAAATTTTAAAGTAATTTTCCTTTCTTTCTTTAGAAATGGTTTATATATGGAGGGGATAGTATAGGGTTTGAGACGATTTTTGATAAGTTCAATCTTAGTGAGCCCCATCGACACAATTTCGTTCAAAGCAACTGCTTTCGTATTTGTAAACATCACACAAAACAAAATGAAAAAACAACTTCTTCTAATAGTTTTGCTCTGTTGCTCTCTCTACGTTAATACCATATTATTGGGTATATTTAATAAGAAGAAACAAGCAGTCATAGAAACCTCTCTTTCCACTAGTTCAGAATTAGACGAAAGTGGACTAAAGGATGTTCCTTCAACCCTATTAATGATTGGTGCTGGAAATGTTGGTTATCCACTTTTACATGCTCTCATATCAGAAAAGACATCCCAACCATTCTTCTCCAAAATTATTGTGCTCGATGCTCATCCAATAGTTCAAGAAGAAACTCAATTTGCGAAAGAACATGTCAACCAAATTGAATACATTCAAGGCGATATGAGAGATGAGTTGATCTTAAGAGAAATCTTCAACAATTCAAACGTGAGAGGTGTCATTGTCATGTGGTGTGAGTTGGAAAAAGACACATGTCAAGATATCAACACACAAGTGTTGATGAAACAAATTACAATGAGTAGAAATAATCCATGGTTGATATTCGCATCTAGTAGAGAAGTTTATGGAGTTGTAAAGGAGTTTCAAAAGTTTCGTCCAATGGGATTTCAAAACCAATCCTCTCAAACTACATGCCCATTGCTGTCCACGCCTTGAAAATCGCTGAATGTTCTCCCTTTTTTCTTTCAATCTTCTCAAAATGCCAAAATAGAAGAATCCATCAAATACATACAACATCAACTCGTTAGAATACACGAATTGGAAGTTATGGCAACCAATCCAAGGAATATGCATACTTTCAACTTTAGTTCTTCGAAAAATAATCCAAACGAATGGAGTCAAGCATCCAAGATGCAATGTGAAAGTCATTACCTTCCTTCATTACCTCTTCATCTTCTTTCGATCAGAGAATTAATTTACTTTCGGTTTATGGAAGGGCTGTTGGAAAGAAATGGCCAAAGATTTATGTACACGAATTCAAGCAAAATGAACAATACTTACAACACAAACACTGTGGCGAGAAATTGAATGGAAAATATTGTTTTACCATGGATGCAGTTCTCTACTATTCCTATAAGAAAATTTCAGTACCAGGTGACCAAGCTGACGTTGTTTTATTACCCTATTTTCAAGGATGTGTTATCCATTACTTTTCACAACGATAGCATCACATGATTACGGTGGATGTGCTTCATTGTTGGACTATTCAAAATTTTCAATATTGGAAAGTATTCCAGACGAAACTATGATGGTATTGCAACATAATTTAATGCTTGTACGTGATTTAATGGTCTATAAGAATCCCAGTGGCGTCGAAGAGTGGACACCACAAGATATGATTCTCAGAGAGCTATATATCAAACACAAAACCATATTCGAAACATAAAAAACTTTAATACTTTGGCATTTGTTTATCGAATAGTTTATTCAAAACAATTATGGTTAATGCCAGTAGGTGATCCAAGCAAACTCTTATCAATCTTATTGAAAAATTGATTAATCGAATTCATTCTTCCAAGACAATTATTAGTTGGAGAGAAGGTCACAGTCATTGGTTCCAATTCTTTGGTTGGAACTTGCATTTCAATCCACGACTCTACATTTGTAATTCCTTTTGTGCAGTAGTGTTCTGGTGCATGAGTGAAAAAGTGACCACCACTCAGAATCATTCCAGTATTTGGAATGAGAAGACGATCGTTGATTTGTTCCTGAATGATGCTTTCCTTCAAGGTAGAAGAAGTAGTGGCGATGGATAAATATTCCTCAATGAATGGAGAGCTAACAGCAAAGAGAGCTCCAAATGGAAGTCCAATAGATTTTCCTTCCAATTGTGATAGGATTAATTCTTGAGCTGATCGCATTCCACCAATGTAAAGCTTTGCAGAATTGCTGAAAGTTTTCAAATATTGAAGGAGGGAATCTGAATTAATTCTTGTTGATTCGGAGACAACTAGGGTCCATTTGGAGGATGTTGATGACTTTTTCAGACACTCTGCATAGAGAGAAATCTTTGAAGTGTGTGTGGATTCACATACATGAGCATTAAATCCAGATTGTTGCCAATAATTGAGAGAGAGTTCAACTTGGGATGAGATGTTATATTCTCTAGCAATGAGTGAAGCTCTAGATTCAATGAGGGGACTTGGAATAACAGCAATGGCAATGTCCTTTCTCTCCAGAGTTTGATCTATTGGTTTTCTATTGCTTGCGAATTGATTTTCCCAATTGCTAAAGATTATTTCAATCAAACCTGTCATGAAAGAGACAACACTCTCATCTTGCTGTTTCGATTCACTCTTTATCCAATCGAGTGAAGGTGGCCTCACTACTGGCATACTTTCAACTTGTTGTAAAATTTCACGTAAATTCTTATTTGAAGATGAAACACTTGGCATGTATCCATCAAGTTCCTTCTCTAACTCTGATACTGGGAAGCATTTATCAATCTTTGTAAAGAAACTATCTGGTAAATTCTCCTTCATCCTATTGACGTGATCTCCTTGAAGGTAATGGAATCCAGTTGCCTTTCTAAATCTATTGAACCAGCTCAAATTTGGTGGATCCTTAAAACTTGAAGGATCACAGAAATACATGTAATTACAACAATGCATGGAAGTTTCATGTTTCAAAATCTTGCACTTTTCCTCCTTTGTCTTTGTGAGAACATCATTCACACATCTGTAAATGGTATAATCATACCATTGTAAACCAACTTTCTTAATACATTCTTCCATATTAACCTTGAGCACTTCAATGGCCTTTTCATTAAAGATGACACCAGCTCCTCCACTAACAGCTCTACATTCAGGTGTTCTTCCAATAATTAATGGCTCATCCACACTCAATTCACCTCTTTCCAATTTCAATTCATATTTTGCCAATGTACGCATCAAATTAGCAGGAATACTCATATGGTCATCATCACTCAACATGAACCATCTCACTCGTTTATCATTCCTCTCCTTCTTCAACTCTAACATTGTAAAAATTGACTCGAGAAAACGTCTCTGAGCTCCATCATATCCAACCTTCCCTCCTTTTGATGCCATTAAAGTAATTCTGGAAAAGAATGAGACATGGGAAGGAGATGGTTCGATATCCGTAAAGAAAAATGTATTTTCCTTTTTCAAGAATGGTTCCTTGCTTCTCGGATGAACTGCTTCATACATTCGTTTCATTTGTCCGTTCAAATTTCCATTATGTGTGAGTTGACCAAAGTAAAGAACATCATTGGATACACAATAGGTAGGAGGAGGAGGAGGTGGAGGTGGTGCAGGTTTTGAAGTGCTGGATTTGCTGTCAATTTTATCTAATGCCACACGTCCAGTTGTAATTGACTCGGAAATGTCATTTCCTTTACGTTTTGAAAATAATCCGAAAGTAATAATGATGAAGAAGAGGCCGACCAGGGAGAGTGTGAGAAGTAGACGAATGCTGGGTGCTTTCATTTTTTTTAAATTTTTTAATAATTATTTAATGTCACTTGTCTGAGGTGTTCTGTTTCTAATTGATGTTTTGTATGGAAGCAATTTAATTTTAACAAATACATGACTGTAATATTGAAAACTGTAAATTTCATTGTAAAAAAATTATACGAAATAGATTCGGATAAATTAGAATGACATTATTCGAAACTACTTTTGAACTGTTTTCTAGTTCATCAAAATGAATATATTTAAAATAACGCCATTTATTCGGATTTCGAATAATTAAGATGAACTAGATTGTTGAACAGTGGAATATCTAATTTACTATCCTAAATTCTATATTTGGAGATTTACAATCTTTTGGACGATTATCTTTCGAACAGTTTTGGTAAACTTTCTTTTACGAACTGTTTAATTCGATGATATTATTTATGCAACCTCACAATAATTGCATCCTCATTGAAACTCGACTTTCGAATAAATAGATTTTCCTAAACTAACCTTTCCAATAATTCAAATTCAAAAAAATGTCCACACAACAACAAGAACTTTCCATTCCACCACTTTTCCAACCATTCACCGTTAGAGGCTTAACATTAAAGAATCGAATTGTCGTTTCTCCAATGTGTCAGTACTCAGCAACTGATGGATTTGCTAATTTCTGGCATGTCCAACATATTGGCAGTAGAATTGTCGGTGGAGCAGGTTTATTTATCGTAGAAGCAACTGGTGTTTCAGATGTTGGTAGAATTTCTCCAGGCTGCTTGGGAATTTACAAAGATGAACATGTTGACATGTTGTCAAAAATTGTTCAATTTGCCCATGAACAAGGAGGTCATATCGGTTTACAATTGAATCATGCCGGACGAAAGGCATCAACAGGAAGACTTTGGGAAGCGAATAGTAGAAAAGCACTCACAAATGAACAAGGAGGATGGGATGTTGTAGGTCCATCTCCAATTGCATTCGATGAACATCATAGAATTCCAGCAGAGTTGACCATTGTGGAAATTCAAGAGGTGATTCAGCAATTTGTGGATGCTGCAAAGAGAGCTATTAAGGCAGGATTTGATTTAATTGAGATTCATGGAGCTCATGGTTATTTAATTTCTTCATTTCTTTCACAAACTTCGAATAAGAGAAGTGATGAATATGGTGGATGTTTCGAAAATCGTATTCGATTCTTGGTTGAATTAGTTGAAAGAATTAGAGCGAATATTCCAAGTGAAATGCCTTTATTTGTGAGAATTTCAGCAGATGAATATGTTGGTGATGAAGGATGGACCATGAAAGATACTACAGAGCTAGCCAAAATTTTACAAAAATGTGGAGTTGACTTGTTGGATTGTTCTTCAGGTGGCAACAATGCAAATGCCAAATTACTTTCCCCAACTTCCATTGTTCAAGGTTATCAAGTTCCATTCTCTGAAGGTGTCAAGAAATCAGTTGATGGATTGGCAACTGGCGCTGTCGGTAAAATTAAGGATGCTCAATTTGCTAATGATTTAATTAAGGATCAAAAGGCGGATTTGGTTTTAATTGGAAGACAGGAATTGAATGATCCTTATTGGCCAATTAGAGCTGCTCATGAATTGGAATATCAAGTGGCAGTTCCTCCTCAATATTTATTTGCATTTCCTAGAAAGCATTAAAGTGTGAAAATGATTATTAATTGTAAATAATTAGAAACACTTAAAATAAACCTCAACCTTTAAAACAATGTATTTACACCCTTGAAATTTAGCTTTTCAGTTCCGTATTAAAGAATATTTTAAATCAATCTCAAATTTGATTCATTCAGATTTGGCTTACTATTGAAAAATAATTGCCAATACCTTATTGAATTTAAACATTAAACCATTTTATTTCTTGCCATCAATCTTTCCTTTTCTTCCTTGATTTGCGTCCAAAATTCATAACTTTGAGAAGTAGTAAATCTTGAGAAGGTATCAGTCAAGTTGACCAGAATATCAGATTTCAAAGATTCCAGCGACTTTTTTACATTTTCCTTTGTAAGACCTTCCTTTGATTTAATCAAATTAATGAGATTCTTTCTTGTGTTCGAAGGAATGTTAACTTCAAATGAACTAGTTTGTGTTAAATATTTTTCAATGATTTCTTCCAACATTTTCACTTGATTTTCCAAATCTTTTTGATAAAATTGTTTTTCATCTTCGAGTTCTTGTAGGGAATTGTAACAGAGGAGGTTTTCCTTTGAGAATTCCTTGACTGTGAACTTTTCGAATAAGGAATAAGCTAAGCCGTCATTCAGAATTTCTTGTAATTCATTGTCGTATCGAGATTCAGATGAAAAACTTGTGGAACCTGAAGTGGACGAAACTCTGTACTTTCTATATTTGAAAATGTAAATCAAAAGTGACAAATCTCCAAAGACCAGAATGTACAAGACAAAGTACACAACTGAAAGAACTAATCTGATGATATCCATAACGAGTGAAGTTTCGAATGCGCTTTCACTTGTACTCAATGCCTTTCCAGTGAGTGTAAAGAAACCTAATCCAACAATTCCAAACACATACGAGATCAATAACACTCCCAAACAGAAAATGAAAAGCAAACTCTCACAACGGAAGAATAAAGGATCATCTTGGACAAAGAATTTGTACATGGAAGACATGGTAATATCCTTTGCCTTTTTAAAGCTTTCCAAATCTTTGAATTTCTTCTTGGAATTGCTATTCGAATCAGTGCTGAATGCAGAAGAGCTTTGAGATTCACTCATTTCCACAAGAGTTCCTGAAATCTCTGATGTATCAATGTATGGTTTTCTATATTCAACAGCAAAGGCATAAATCAAGTCAACTATGAATATTAAGGAAACTGCAACAAGTGAGAATAGAAGAATTGCACCCATAAAACTCGAGGTAACTATGGTATAGATGGAAGAAGTGAAAATTTGCTTAGAGGTGTCTGAATTGAGTGATTCTTGAACAATTCTTCCAATGGAAAATCCTGTGAAATAGGTAAAGATAACCAAGGGCAAGCATACCACAAGGAAAACGTACAAACTCTTTGAGGAAATGATCTGTAGAAGCCAAATCTTCTCCTGTTTCTGCGAAAGCCACACTAATAATAACAGCAGAACAATATGTAATAGTATTCAAATAGAATGAAATATTGGTCGAGTTGGTTGCTGTGAAACCAATCATGAGCGATGACTTAACAACATAGCTCAACAATGATTCTAAAAAGATACTTGTCATTCCCACAAATGGAGCAATGTACTTGGCCTTGACAGGTTGTGAATTTCTAAAGATACAAATCAGTAATAACATTATCAAGCTCACAATCACAAATATGACACCAATTCCAATATCAAATCCCCATAAAATGTAGTAAGCTTGCTTTTGTGCTAAAGTTAAATTGGTAGTTGAAGTTGGAAACTCAACAAATGTTGCAAATTGAGTGGTGTGATCACAGGAACACTCAACTACATAGTAATCACCGTATGTGAGAAGGGCAGTTCTTGTACAACCATTGGACAACCAATCACTGACAGTTTCATTCCAATATTTACAGACCAATAAATCTGGATTTGAAATGTTGGCTATGGACAAGTTGAAATTCAAAACAATTGGATCAGTCAATTCGCTAAGAGGGAAGTAATCACCTGATGGATTGATACATCTCAAGGAAATTACATCACTGGTAATGTTTCCACCACTGGATGATGTGGAATTGTTTGGATTTTCCAAATAGGTTACAAATTCAGTTCCATACAGACCTTTCGTTGAATTGAATACTGAAACAGTTGGCATGACAACTGAATGATATGAAGAATCAGTTGTTAAAGTAGTTCCATTAAAATTAGAAGCATAATCCTTTCTAATAGAAAATACAATAGAATCAGTTGAATATCTTCTTTCTTCACTTGGTGAAATACTATCAACAATACTAGTCGAAAGCATTTTCACAAGTGATGCAGTTTTCGATTTGAATTGAGAAACTTTCATCCAACTAGACAACAGAGAGGTCAGTATATCCAAAACAGTACCATCCTTCATTCCAAGTGGAAGTTTGGAAGTGACATCACCAGTGTACTTGTTTTGATTGGCATCTTTCTTAATCATGGAAATGAAATTGTACAAGAGTGTGAAAATAGCATCTCCATCTGTGTTTACCATATTCGCCATAGTTTTCTTTGCATTGTATGCCCAAATATCGAGAATTCTAGCAAGATCTGCCAACTTGTCAGTATCATTTTCAGTCATGGTTGCCAACTTGTTCTGAATGACAGCAAATAAACGTCTTTGAACCAAGTCAATCAGTGTTGAATTGGCAGTGCTTTGATAGGATTTTCTTGTGAAGCCAACTACTCCTTTCAATTGTGGAATGGAAACACTCATAAATGCTGAAGGTAATACAAATCGATAAATCTCCTCGAGAGCCACTGGTTTCACAATAACTCCATTCAAAGCATAAGTTTTCACATTTCCAAAACTTAAATCCTTCACAAACAAAAGAGTCTTCCAAGATTTTTGATTTTCTCCCAAAGCATAACTTGGTGGAAGGTAGGAAGAAATAATTTTGGAAGTGGAATAATCAGTCACCCTCACAAATCCTTGCATAATGGTCGAGTAAGGAACATTGTCCAAATTACTAAAGCTCATGACATCAGAACTCTTAATTAGGGAAGTATCCAAATAACCAAATGCAAATTGTAAATTAGTGGCATCTGAATTGTCGCTATATTTGAAATTAGAGGTTACTTTGAAAGTGAGTGGATCAGTGAAATTGACAATGGTTGGTGAAACAGTTCCAACAGTTGACAAGACTGGAGAGAAATCGAGTGGCGTTCTCAAGTATTTGATCTTTCTAGCAATGAGAGTCTTAGAGGAGGAGTAAACTGAGGCCACTACCTTGTAAGCTGTATCAGCATAGAGTATTTTATCTTGAGATAAAACGAGAGAGGAGTATCCTAAACTGTTTTGTTGATACATGGCTTGGAGAGTATTGGATTTACCGAGATAGTTAGTTTTTGGCATGACATCAATTATGGCAGTGTTCAATTTGTAAACTCTCATAACTTGCCATGTATAAATCAAATTCATCTTATTAGAAACTGCAGAAGAAACAATAGCATTCATTCCAAAGTTATCTCTCAATGGAATGTAAGAAGTGGAAGTTTCGTTATCGAGATTTGGTGGATTAGTTGGATCAATTATACTTGGTTGAGCTACCTGAATTTCCAATAAACTGTTTGGATCAACCACCGGATTTCCAACAAGTTTCGTAAAGGTGGTTTTCGAATAGACGACCAATTCTGCCTGAAATAAAGATTGATCAGCTGTTAAACCAGCCACAGGAGTATATTCAAATAAATAAACACCCTCTTCATAATTAGATTTTGGAGTAACCAACACTTCAAACAATCCAGCTTTTGCAAAATTAGCCGAAACCACACAATTAAACTTATCACTATTCGAAATGGAAAGAGGTGTATTAAAGAATGTGGAATTTTGTGAAGTGGTCGATTCTCTAGAGCTAGACAAGCTTGACTTGACTAAAACTCCACATTTCGACACTGAATTCCATCCAGATACCAAACTAGTCAATAAAGCACTCCAAGCAATATTCGAAAATCCATCAACATAGAAACGCATTGTAAAGTTGGATTTTGCTGAGGGATTGTCAGGGATGAAGTGGTATACATTGTCGTAATCACCTGTGTTATCGAAATATTTGATCGAGAGGGCAACAGGTGCACCACTTGCTAATTGATATACGAAAGGTTTCGTCATTTGTGAAGTTGGACGATTCGAATAGTAAATTTGATCGGCTGCATAGTTATAAGTAAAGAAGAAGGAAAGAAACAAGTAAGACAACAGGCATATTAACACTGTGGTTGAAGCTGTCATTTTTTTGTGTTGAATTTTGGGATCTCTTGTTAATGATTTTTGACAGATAAAGTTCTGACATGTAACTAAGCAACGGCAAATTCCAGCTTGTGTTAAGCTTGGAGATGGTTATTCCTTTCATCAAACTAAACTTCCAATACAAAGTCTCTTGAATTGTTTATTAAACTCGAGTTCGGGTGCAGAGTTCGAATGAATTTTCATTTTCTTAAAATTGAAATGATTATCTGAAACCATTTTATTAATAGTTTCACAAGTAAATGTTCTTTCGAATAGAACTCGGTATTGATAAATATAAAGTTAGTTCGGTTCTAGGTGTTCTCAAAGATTGATTACAAAAGATTACATTTACAATTGCAATTCAATTTACAAAATTTTAATTTAAATTAAAAACTTAAATCAACAATTTCTAAAAGTTCATCTAGGACTTTAGATATTAAAGTTCATCAAATAAATTTAAAAAAAAATAAAAAATAAAAAAATGTCTTCCTCCTATCATAAACAAGATGTTGTTCAATCACTCTTTGCGAAAGGACCTCTCGGCATGTTGAGAGCCTCCCAAAGAGAACATCCCACTCTCAATCACAATATACAAAAATTAGAGGATTTTGTTAGTATTCATACACCAAAACAAGCCTTTTCGGGAAAGCCTACAGGGTTTGATCAGTTGCCATCAGAGATTTTCGGAATGATTTTACAGTTTGCTGGTGTTGGTTATATTCCAATCTTGTCTGTTTTGAATACAATGTGTCATGATTTGTTTGAGAGTGAGGATTCATTGGTTTATAAATTATTATTACAAGCCATGATGAAGAAGGATGAAAAGTATATGGAAGATGTGAGAGAAAAGTTGGGATTAACGTATAAATCTAGTTTGAAACAAGCTGTTGGGAAAATAAGAAGACCCTATTCGGCTATTGGAAATGAACTATTTGATGCTTCCTATATGTTTGACTTGGATATGATGGAAAGGATAGCACCAATATCAGAGATTACGGACATGAGCGAACCCATCTTGATGAGTAATTTTACAATTGAATTTTGGGCTAGATTTAAGCAGAATGTTAGTGGCGACTTGTTGACTATTACTTGTTCAGCATCACGTTCTATCAAATTAAGTCTTTCTATTGGAGCTCTTTACATCAATTTTAATACTACTGATATGAGATTTATTAATTATATTGCACCAGATCAGTGGCAACATTTTGTGCTTGTCTTTGAGCAAGATAACATCAAGGTTAGAGTGAATCAGGACTATTTCTTAGAATATCCTACACATTCATTCGACAAAGATTCTTTAATTTCAAAGATTGTATTGTGGGAAGGTGTCAATATGTGTGCTGATTTTACAGAACTAAGAGTTTGGAATTATGCCCGAACACTTGAAGAAATTAAGGCAACTGCCGATATGCGAATCAACCCATTCACCAAAGATTTGAATTATCAAAATTTAATCTACTACTTTTATCCAAATACTGAAGATGGAGACACTGCAGAATTGATTACGAACAAGACGCCATATATTGGCCTCGAATGTAAGGCCAAGCTAAAAATGCAACAAATGTCATTGAAAAAGATTGCAGGTCAACGAGTGGGTTGGTTCGAGGATCTTTGTTTCATTCTATAATATATTATTATATATGATTATATTGCAATCAGATTACTAACTTGTACTTTTTGCCTCATATTCTTTCACCAACAGAAACACGTTCAGAACCAGGAGATGAACTTGTTATAAAAATATACTTTTTGGTCACATAGAGAGGATATAAAAGAAGCAAAACCCCGTCAAATATTGTTTATCAAGCAAATCTATTATCCTTATTAAGAGCAACAACACCCTTAATAAGGCCCTGTGAGTGGGCTAAATATGAACAACAAAAACAAAAAGCTTTACATATCTCACCATCACACAACGTCAATAATTTCCTTCTTATTATTACATTTTAATATCGTTACATTTTGAAAAAGATAACTTCCACGGCCATCATAGTCATGACAACATCTTTGATATCCAATTTCAAATCAAATAGTTCCAATATAATAACAACAACATCAATTGGTGGTGATGATCGTTTCAATAATGAACAAGAAGGTTCAGTGAGAACGAACAACAATTCTCATCACTATAAACCTAATTCTCCCATCCGAATTTCCGTCCCTCATAAAGATGAAGATGATAATAACAACACTTTTAATGCAGCAACAACACCAACTATGGAAGCAATAGATGATGAATTTCTCTCATCATCCTCTTCCCCACAAACAACGAGTACATCTTCACCTTCCTTAACTCCTCCTTCACTTCTTCAAGACAAATTTGACACTGTGGCCACTCAACAACAATTAAAGAAGGATAGAAGATCAGGCACCATCAATAGCATAAGAAATAATATGAATTTCTCATCACCAATGAGTGCCTCAATAATGAAAAGTAAGAATTTCCGAAAATTAGACCATCAAACAAGTAATGGCAATATTGTGGTGAAGAGAATGCCAAACCAGGAAGAGATGGCCCCCGAATCGCCATCCTCTTCTATTAAGGCCAAATACTCTTCAAATAGTCCAACTAATAATTCTTCATCTACCACCACCAATAACAATTCAGTTCCTCCATCTCCTTCATCTTCCACAGCAGGGAGTGCTAATTCATCAGCAGCGATCAAAGACGAAGTAGATTTACAACAAGTGAAACAACAACAAAGTTGCCACTCAACAGTCGGGTCCTATCTGGCCATCATGCCAATTATATTTGGAGCAATAGCATCATGGGATATAGGACCGTTATTCTTCGTTATAGTACTAGTTGTGGAACATTTTATACATATGGGCGTGAACATTATATTAGATAAGGTTACAACCTTACATGCCTTTTCCATGATTAACTTATCGAGAATATCTCTTGCTGATTTTGTACAAATTGCAATGCAAATCAAGTATGGACCATTAAGTCCTATGCATATCATTACAACATTTAAGATTTTTGTAGTGTCCATGTCGTTTTATTACAAGTCTAGTTATATATTATTTGGATGTGGGCAATTGATTGCTTTCACCACCATTTCCTTACTTACTTCTTTTTACATGTGGTACGATTTACTGAGTGAGAAGGAAAGAGCAGACTTTTATGTTAAAGTGTTGGAAGTGTTTGTAATTCAGAATACAGTATTAATCGGATCTTTCTTCTTCTCCAAACACTTGACAGAGAAAAATAATCAGTACACTAGTCATCAAGTAGAAATTGCAAAGGAAAGAGTTTCAAATTATGAAAAGACGAGATTTATTGCATCACTATCTCATGAATTGAGAAATCCACTTCATGCCATTATTGGTTCCGTAGAATTAATTAAGAATATTTATAAGAGTGAAGATTGTTCAGAGAGTTGTAAACATTGCATGGTTTCAAACGCTTCCTTCTCAGAAATGATTAATGATGTTCATGAAAATGCGGCACTCTTATTACACATCCTATCCTCTTCTCTTCAAATGAGTTCAATGGAAATTGGAAATATCAAACTGAAGGTGGAACAATTTAATGTCATGTGTTTGATAGAATCCATAACTTGTGTATTTTCTCCATTAGCAATTGAAAAGAAGAATACTTTACATTCATTCTTTGATGTTTCCAAAGTACCAATGTTTTTAATGGGAGATTCTGTGAGGATCAGTCAAATTGTAATGAATTTGGTTTCAAATTCGATCAAGTATACTAAGGGAGGTCAAGTCCTGCTCAAATGTAAAAAGGCAAAGGATGAGGAATTGAAACTACACTTCCAAGAAGAGGAAATTAAGAAGAATTGCTTCTATCTCAAGATTGAATGTCAAGATAATGGATGTGGTATCTCAGAGTCTCAAATTGGAAGTTTATTCAAACCATTCCACATTATAGAAAAACAAGAAAAGACCCAAGGATTCGAGCACTACTTTAAACAATCAGAATTTACAAAATTGAACAATGGAGGAAGTAGTCTCATCAATACCAATAGAAATGGACTTGGATTGAATATTACTAAGCAAATTATTGAGAAAATGGAAGGAAAGATTATTGTCAACTCAAGAGTAGGAGAAGGAACAACAATGAACGTCTATATCCCTCTCGAAGAAATGGACAAACAAGAGCAAGTTACAGATTCTGAAGGCTCTTCTTCCTCAACTCACATTAATTTGAATCCAGAAAATTTATTGGACGTTCTAAGTGAAGATCAATCACAAGATTTGAGTATTATCATTATTGATGAGGATCCAGTTTTTAGACAAGTACTGTCTTCCTATTTGAACTTGTTCAAACGAGTTGTGCTTATTCAAGATTTTGAAACTCATGCAGATTTTGTTCAAGAATCTGAAAATATTCTCCATGTTGCAGATCATTCCTGTAAATATATGATTTTCTGCCCAGAATCGTTCTGTACTCAAATTCAAGGCACTAGATTTGTGGAACAATTGAATTGCATGATAATTCCTTCAATATTCAGAGGAGAAACAAGACATCATCAAACTTTCTCATACCTGACCAAACCGATCAAGTTTGTTGATTTGGCTGATTTGGTGTTGAAAGAGAAACCGCACAATGCACATTGCAAGAAAGCCAGTTGTACCCCAAGACAATCAATTGTTGAAGTAGGCAGCATGCCAACATTCTTGGGAGTAGAAACAGCCTCTCCAACAAGTGAAAGATCAGAATCTCACCACCCATCCAGTCCTATTCGACCTGACATTAGTAAGAAATCAATATTTGTTGTAGATGATAATGCAGTTAATAGGAAAATCCTCACCAAAATGCTAAGAGTTATTGGATTTAAAGATATTGATGTAGCCTGTGATGGAATGGAATGTTTCAACATGTACAAACGAAAGAAGTACGACATTATCTTGTTGGATTGTTTCATGCCAATTCTTTCAGGTAAGGAAGCATGTGAAATGATTCGTAAAGCAGAGAAACAAAACGAAACTGAAAAACAAACACCAATTTTAGCCATTACAGCCAATACTTGGGAAAGTGTTGATACTCTAGTGGGTCATGGTTTTGACTCTGTCATTTACAAACCAATCCTATTAGATTCCCTCAAGAAGGAAGTTTTCAACATGCTAAGAATTTGAGCCGTTTAATTGAACCAAAAGTATTTTATAATTTTATTAAAAAAGTTCAAAAAAAATTTGATCGTCATCGATTGTTGTTTTTCATCATCATCGTTTGATCATCAGCACCATTCTAATAATATATATTCATCACCATGGGTGTACCAGGATTATATAGATATTTAACAGAGAAATATCCAAATATTGTATCGGAATGTGTTGAAGAAATACCTACAGTACAAAAAACAACAATTTCATCAAATTATGATGATTTTGAGGTTGCTGATGGACAATTACCAACCATTAAAAAGAAGACTGTTAGAATTGTAACCCAAGGAATTGATACAACCAAACCAAATCCTAACGGAAAAGAATTTGATAATTTATATTTGGATATGAATGGTATTATTCACCCTTGTTGCCATCCAGAAGATGAAGAAGCACCTAAAACAGAAGAAGAAATGTATGAAAAGATCTTTGAATATGTAGAGAGAATTTATGCAGCCATCAGACCAAGAAAAGTTTTATTCATGGCTGTTGATGGTCCTGCTCCGAGAGCCAAACAAAATCAACAACGTGCTCGTCGTTATAAATCTGCAAAAGATATGGAAGATCAAAAGAAAGTTGAAAGAGATTTACGTGAGGAATTAATTAGTCGTGGATTAGAACCACCACCAGAAAAGATTGATTCTATTGCAGAGAAACCAATTAGAATTTTGAAAAAGAAAAAACTTTCTTCTTTCAAGAATAAGGAATTAGCTAGTTTATTAATGGAAGATAATGATATGCCACTCAATGAAGAATTTGAAGATAGTAATAATAATCAGGAGGAGGAAGAGGATGAATATTTTGAAATTCACCCTGCAGGAGATAATTGGGATTCAAACGTGATTACTCCTGGTACTCCTTTCATGTATCGTCTAGGAAAAGCTCTAAGATATTTCATTCACATGAAGTTGACCACTGATGAAGGATGGAAAAAGGTCAAAATTATTTTAAGTGATGCAAATGTTCCAGGTGAAGGAGAACATAAAATTATGGATTTTATTAGATCCCAAAGAGAAATGAAAGGATATAATCCAAATACTAGTCATGTTATCCATGGATTGGATGCTGATCTTACAATGCTTGCTCTTGCAACACACGAACCATACTTTTACAATCTAAGAGAAAAAGTCAATTTTGGTAAAAATTCTGGAGGAAAGGGTTATGATGTGGAAAAGAAGAATAGTGGTGCCCATCCCTATGAATACAAGCCATTAGAAATTTTACACATTAGTGTACTGAGAGAATATTTGGAAATTGAATTGCTACAAGAAACTGATCGTCTTCCGTTCCAATATGAATTTGAGAGAGGCTTGGATGATTTTGTCTTTATTTGCTTCTTTGTTGGTAACGATTTCTTACCTCATTTACCTTCTTTGGATATTAGAGAAGGTGCAATTGACTTGTTACTTGCATTGTACAAGGAGAGTTTACCTGTTATGGGTGGTTATCTTACAGAAAATGGTGATGTCAATGTTTCACGTGTCCAGTATCTGCTCAAACAAGTTTCAGAGTATGAAGATAAAATATTCTCTGTCAGAGAAAAGAGAGAAGAATACTTTAAAAAACAACAAGAACAACGTAAGCGTGAACAAAAGGAAAGAAAGGATCAATCATACAAACCTGAAGGTGTTGAAATTGTTCCAATTTTGAAAGAACATCGTGGAAAGTTTGGTCACATTACAAATCCATATGAAGATTTCAGAAAAAAGCAAGGATTGGAAAATACACCTGAAAAATCATTCCTAGGTAAAAGAAAAAAGGATGAGGAGGAAAATGAAGAATTGGAAGAGGAAGCTCCTGTTGAAAAAAAGTTAAAAGAAACTGAGGAACAACCATCCGAACCATCATCTACAGCCACAACTTCGGTTGAAGGTGCTGCCTCATCTTCCATCTCTAAAATGGATTCCAAACAATATCAAGATAGCTTGAAATTAAGACTTGATGAAGCAAAGAATGTTGATACCGAAAAATTCCCTGATACAGTGAAATTGGGTTCTCAGGGATGGAAGGAAAGATATTACAAGGACAAGATGGATATTAATATTGGAACTGATGAATATTGGGATGTTTCTTTGAAATATTTGGAAGGTTTGGTTTGGGTATTTAGATATTATTATACTGGTTGTGATTCTTGGGATTGGTTCTATCCTTACCATTTTGCTCCGTTTGCTTCTGATATGGCCATGGTTGATAGTTCAAAACTTGGTCTCAATTTTAAGAAAGGTCAACCTTACAAACCTTTCTCTCAATTGTTGGGTGTTTTACCTCCAAGAAGTTCTCATGCTCTTCCTCCATGTTATCGTGAATTGATGTTGTCTGATGATAGTCCAATTATTAACTATTACCCTACAGATTTCAAGATTGATTTGAATGGAAAGACCAAGACATGGATGGGTGTATGCTTACTTCCTTTCATTGATCAAGAAGAATTACAAGCAGCCATCAAGACTGTTGAACCTAAATTGTCAAGTGAGGAAAAGGAAAGAAATACTCTAGGCAATACTACTCTATATGTTCACTTTGAACATCCACTCCAAAATTCAATCATGTCATGCTATTTGGATGATAGTTCCTTTGTTGACTTTAATAAGGCATCAAAAGATGTTGCAGGTACATTCAGACAAGATCCACTCTCGGTGGCACCTTCAGATATGGTTAAGGTACCATGGAAAGCTGATTTATTAGATGATGTTGCAGAGACTGCAGCTGTTAGTGCTTGTTTTGATTTCCCATTGGTTGAAAAATCCAAGTGCAAGTATATTGCCAAATTATTACCAAATGTAACACTTCCTCCAAGAATGTTGCCAACAATTTTGGATTCAGGCAGTGTTCCAGTTGTAATTGGACAAAATGGTGAAAAGACTGTCACTTTCTGCTCTTCAAGAGAAATGATTGATAATATTATGAATGGTAAACCAAGAAATAACTATTTGAGCTTTAGAAGAAATGGAGGTGGAGGCAGACACGACTATAACAATAGAGAACGTGTAGACTTTTCAAGAAGTGGCAACTTCCACAATAGAAATAGAGGAGACAATAACTATCAACGTAATGATAACAGAGATAATAGAAATTATGACAGAGGTGACAGATCGAATTATCAACGTAATGATAACAGGGATTACCAAAGAAATGACAATAGAGATGACAGAAATAATTCATATAGAAATAATTCTGACAGAAACTATGATAATAACCGAAATGATAATAACAACAGATACAACAGAGACTATTCTGGTGATAGAAATAATAATCGCAACTATTCTGATAGAAATGATAATAGAAATGATAATAGAAATGAAAATAGAAATTATGGTGGTGATAGTAGGTATCAAAGAAGAGATGATTCATATGATAGAGGTCAAAGAACTAATCCTCCAAATTATCAAAATAGTCCATACTCGTCCAATTCTAACAATAATTATCAAAAGTCTCCATACAGTTCTACACCACAAACAAGTCCGTATGCCCCATCACCTTATGCTTCCTCAACTCCTCAACAATCACCTTACTCCCAAAGTCCATACGCTGCCACAGTTGCTGCCCAACAATCACCTTATTCCACTACTGCCAACAACAATCAACAACCATCCAATCAACAACCATCTACTAGCCCATACTCCCAAGCTAGACAAAGTCCTTATGCTTCCCAACAAAACAATTATGGTGGTAACAGAAATGCCAACACTTACTCACAAAGTGAAAGAAGAATATAAATTATTTATTTTACAAACAATAGGATCTTGAATATCTTACTTATCACTCTGAATGCATCTTTTGGATTCCCCAATAGAACTAAGTTTCGAATTTGAATCGGAGATTTAAAATATCATTACAATTATTTTACATACAAGGGCGACCCAACAAACCAATACATTTCACAACAAGCAGTCAACTCTCCAATGCATTCCACAACAACCAATTGGCAACCCTCACTCAAATAGTCATTGCTCCAATAATATTAATTGAAACACATTTTACAAAAGATTTAAAAAAAAAATAATTAGCAAAAAAATGTCCAATAATGAAAATAACAACAACAACACTGTGAGTCATATGGTTGATGAGGTGATTAACGAAGAATCATCACAACAACATGAAGAACAACATGAAGAGGAAGAACAAACAACAATACCTGTCTATCGCGAAGAAACAATAGAATTGGAAGATGAAATGATACAACAAGAAACAACATCATCTTCTCATCATGAAGAAGAAGTAAATAATACCTCCGAAGATCATTATCATGAAAAAAAGGAGAAAATTAATGATGAAGAAACGGTTGATGAAAAAGTTGAAAGAACAGAGCCAATTGCCGAACCATCAGTTGATAATATTAGAGTTTCAATTGAAAAGAGTGATATTAGTAGTAGTGTTGTGGGAGGTGCTGGAGATCCAAAACCTATCAGGGTATTAATTCCATTGATTGCAGCAATTTTGAATTTCGTTTATGCGGTTATCTTTTTAATCTTGTCATTTGTTGAAATCAAGTTGACTATTGATTTTGTGCAAGATTATCATGCAAAGTATGATAAGAATGAGGATTATTATGAAGATAACGGATATTTGGAAGATGATCAAGTGAGTCTTTTTAGTGGAATTAGTGTTTTTTGTTTGGTAATTGCTGCATTGATGAGTTTGTTTGGAGCTACTTGTGGTTTAATATCATGCATAATGATCATAAGGAAAGAATTCTTCTTTGGTCTCTTGAAAACTCACAAGAATTATATCAACACTATTCTAGTATTGGCTTGTATGTGGTTGTTTACAAGTATTGTTTCACTTGTTCCATTCAGTGGAATTTATTTGGTTTTGGATTTTGCTGTTCAATTTGGAACTCATATCGGATTTGACTGGTGGGCTCTTGTTGTTGTCTTGATTGGTGCTATCTTTGTTGGTTTTGCAGGTCTCTTATTGAAGAGAATATGGGAATTTAGAGCTGTCTATGTTCAATTCGGTACTTTGTAAATAGATATTTAAACTTTGTGTGAGGAATGTAGAAATGTTTTACATCATTAATTTATTATTTAATAAAAAGATATTTAAAATATCTAGGCAAAGAAATCAATCAAGTTCAAATTTGACATGTTTTAACATGTTGATCTCAGATGTGAATGATTGCTTGTTGACCTATTTGAGGGTGCAATACAAGCTGAATTGACCATTTACATCGTCATCCTCAAAACATGCTATCACTTTTTGGAATCAAGATTCTCAAATACTAATTAAGCTATTTCAAATATTTTCAATCTTCTTCCAATCAAGTGAACAACAATCAAATTCTATCTCTTTCTCAACTTCCTTGCCATTAACATCAGCCTCCTCCCTTGTTGAGCTCGACGCCAATGTCTCTAAAAGTCTTTTTAGAAGTGCTATTTGGTTTGGTAGTCTTTCTAGAGCAAACACCAGTTGGCAAATGCTTTCTTTCCTCCTTATCAGCAAGCAATTGTTGCTTGATTTTGTCCTTTTCAGCTTGAATCTTTTTCTTTTCTTCCATCATTTTCTTCTTTCTCTCTTCTATTTCAGCATCGGAAACTGAACTGCTGCTACCAGTTGGTTTCACAACACTTGATGATGCTGAACTACTACTACTTGGCTTTTGTGGTGTAGTTAAATTATTCTTTGTCTTGATATCAATGGCAGCAATCAAATCCTTCAAATCACTAGCAACAAAATTCTCCTTCTTGAGAATAATATACTCTCCACTATCATCAATTTCAAATCCACACAACATTAATAAATTTACAGCTCCTTCAACGCCCATCACAAAGTCATTAAACTTTGGATTGGCAATTTTAATCTTTCTAAACTTTTCCTCGTTCGGATGAGTCACAATATTGGTACAAATTGATGAGATGAGTTGGAGCGTGATTGGTGAGGCCATCATCACATCATAATTATCTTCTATACAATATAAAGCTTGTTGCAAAATAATGGATTCTTCTACTGCTCCTGTTGAGGTATTATTATTACCTGAAGATGGAGGTGGTTTAGAAATTGTCATTCTTTTTTTTTGTTGTTGTTTTTGATGGAGATGAAGTTACTTTTAGAATTTTTAGAATATTACATTTTTCAGAATTTTTCTCACGAGAACTTTGCAATTATTATTACAAAATATTGAAGAATACTGAGAGATACAGTTAATAATTCATTATCTTTTCCTCTCTGTACAATTTGACATGATGAGTTGCCAATAATTCACATGAAATACTCAAATGATAGACTCGACATGGAGAGGTGTCATAATCATCCATGTAGTAGCTTGTTTCATAATCAGCTAAATGTTGGGAAACTCCAAGGTAGAGTGGGAAATTCTTTTCATTGATATCAGTTTGATGGTACCAAGGGAGCTTTCCATTCCAATCATAGGAAAAGTTAGTGAGATCCAATTCTTTCAAAATTAGAGAGAATCCTAATCGATCTTGTGGACATTGAGAAAGTGAAACGTAGATCCAATTGGAGATTTCACCATATTCCTCCTGAATGAACTCTTCCATGATTTCTATTGGATTGTCTTGATGTAGTATAAAGAGAAAGGAAACTAGAGGTAATGTTAGAATGGGTTCATTATCATAAATTCCTTCCCAAATATTAACTACATCTGAAACTACACTAGGTCTAAATCCCAAACTCAAATATTCCATAAATAGACAAACTCTATATTGTTTAAATAGTTCCAGCTGCAGATCTTCCAAGCTTTCGTCCATATTTTTGAAATTCTCAATCGACTCTTTCATTCTATTCAATACATGAAACGAGAATTGAAAGATACTAAAACTATTCTCTCCCTCCACAATTCCCTTTCCATTCTGTATTATTGGACTTTCCCATTCCATTCTCTTATTCCTCTCCTCACAAAAGTTTAAACATTCTCCTCTCTCCACAGTTTCTGTCTTGATTGGTAATTTGTTTAAATAGTATTGAATCACTCTCATCCAATCCACTGTTCCCTCCTCATCACCTCTCAAATCATCATCATGATCATTATCTTCCTCATCGTGCTGTTCTTCTTCTTCTCCTTTACCAGGATTAAATTTTCCCTTTTCCATCTTTAAATCATTTTCATCATAAAGTTTCAAATGGTCATGATGAGCAATGATTCGATCCAATTTCCATTCCTTATAATAAATTCTCTTCCATTCATGATTCATTCCGTGATGCATAGCTTGAAACCAACACTCATTCACAGCACTCATTGAAAACCAATCGGAAATTGGCAAGAAACTTGCAATGATTGTGATGGTATCGGAAGACAATAATTGATGATGATTAAAACAAGATGGATTATTATGTATTGAGAGTGTTGTTTCAATATCATCTAGTGCGCTTTCATCATCTTGATGAAAATTGGCGGGAAATGTTTGAGCTTGGTGTTTGAACATTTTTTTTCTGTTTTTGTTTGATAATTGTGCTTAACTTTTTTGGAAATACCTTAATTTTGAATATTTCTAACATAAAAATAATAATTATATTATTAATAATTCTCAAGGACTACAGTTTTGTTACAATGAAGCATGCCCTTGACCTTGCTTTCAATTTTTTGTTATTTACCCAAAAGTCCATAATTGTTTAATTTGATGGCGATCTAATTGGGCGAGCAACTTTTTTGAACTTGCCAATATTCGTTCTGAGATTTAAAATTGGAACTTTTGCAAAACCAATAATTTCTAAAAACAAAAAAAACACCTCAAACACTGTTCATCAATTAATTTAACAATCATCAACAATGGGCAAACTTAAAGTAACCATCATTTCTGCACGTGATTTAGAAGGAAAGGATATTGGAGGTACATCAGGTAGGTGTTACTATTTAAACAATTTCATTGATCATTACACTTACATCTGTATAATCCTACTGAATAATAATATCATATTTTAAACACTGAATAGATCCTTTTGTTGTTGTTTCTGTTGGAACAATTAAACACAAGACTGACCACTTGACCAAGACTACTAATCCAACTTGGAATACTTCTCTCTTCTTTGATTTGCCACCAAGTGTCAACCCAGCCACAGAATCAGCTTCTTTTGAAGTTTTTGATTATGATCGTTTGGGATCTTCTGACTTGATTGGAAGAGCAACAATTGCTTTGGGAACACTTTACAAAGGACACGCTCAAAAAGTTGATTTAAGGTTGGCCAACTCAAGGAATGGAATCTTATCTGTTGAATTGTTGGCAGAAGATTTTGGACAAGCCATACCAACTACTACTCAAACCACAACTAATCCACAACAAGGTGGTTTTCCACCACAACAACAAGGATATCCTCAACAAGGTTACCCTCAACAAGGTTACCCTCAACAACAAATGTATCCACCACAACAAGGATATCCACAACAACCATACTATGGACAACCTCCAATGCAAGGATATGGCTATCCTCCTGAACAAGGATACCCACAACAAGGTGGTTTTCCACCACAACAAGGATACCCACAACAATATCCACCACAACAATATCCTCCTCAACAAGGATATCCACCATATCAATAATTTGAATTTCTTCTTGAAATTGTGTAAATAATACATTATCTTCCTTATATAGTTCTCCTTCTTCTTCTAACACGCAGAGGTCACAAACAGTTGGATTTCTAACTTCACAAAAGATGAATTACTATATAAATATAACATTACCATCTGCTTGAAAATACCAAAGTGTCCAAATCCTCTCTTGGGAAAAATCTTTAAACTGTAAATATCCTTAAACGAAACATATCAATTTAACATTGTTCATTGGCATTACAATGATTCAAATTCAGGAAGAATGAAAAGGTATTAGTAACATTTTCAAAAAAGATGACTAAATTTCTCATTCTCTTGCTATTCATTTCATGCTTCATTATTGCCAATTGTTTAGTTGATTGCCAACTTCCACAAATTTCCATTCCAACTCCACAACAATCAGGCGATACTGTCCAACAAGAACAATTACCACAAGTTTCCATTCCAACCCCTCAACAATCAGGTGATACCGTCCAACAAGAACAATTGCCACAAATTTCCATTCCTACACCACAACAATCGGGTGATACCGTCCAACCACCATTCAAAGTATTTGGTTCTCATCATATAATCAGACCAATTATTTCTCATTTCAAACCTCATCATTCCCAACATCATACTATTCTTCCTCACTTGAGAGGTTCTCCTCATCCAAGTCAAACTTAATAAACTAACTGTTATATTAAATTATAATTTTACATTCCCATCATCAACCCCAGAGGTAAGGAATAAAACAAAGTTCATATTGTAGTTTTTTTTGGCGGTAAAAATACACACATGAACATGAGCGATCCATTCTTATTTATAAAACACATGAAACGCGATGAGTTTCTCAAACAAGCAACACGGAATGGAAACTTTAGCAAAAAATAGACACACAAAGAATGGGCAAACTCAAGATTACTGTTATTTCTGCTAGAAATTTGGAAGGAAAGGATGTTGGTGGTACTTCTGGTAGGTTGATGATGCGAATTTGATGATGATTTAATTTTACATGTGATGATGATGATGAATTTTGGTGATGTTACATCCATGATGATGAATTTCTTATAACAATGAAATATTTCTTATATTATTTGTGTTATTCAACTACAATGTACAATCGATTTTAATATATTTAATATTGTTTTGTACATTAACAATGATTTTGTGATTGGTTAACAAATATTATTCATATATATATTAATAATCATTCATTATCATCATCATTATATATTAATTAATTAATACTATTTAGATCCATATGTTAGAGTAACAATTGGTTCCGTTCAAAGAAAGACTGATCACATCAGCAAAAATTGCAATCCAACATGGAACACAACCTTGTTCTTTGATTTGCCTCCTTCTGTTAATCCAGCCAGTGAAAGTGCTGTCTTTGAAGTTTATGATTATGATCGTTTTGGAGGAAATGATATTATTGGTAAGGCAACAGTTGCTTTGGGAACTTTATATAAGGGACAACCACAACGTGTCGATCTCAAATTGCAATATTCCAAGTTGGGTACTTTGACTGTGGAATTGTTGGCTGAAGATTTTGGACAAGCCATGCCAACTCAATCAGTTACTCAATCACAACCACTCAATCAAGGTCCACCAGTTCAAGGTTATGGTTATCCACAACAACAACAACAACAACCAATGGGTTATCAACCACAGGGAGTGCAAGGTTATGGATATCCTCAACAACCAATGGGCTACCCTCAACAACAACCAATGCAAGGTTATCCCCAACAACAACCTCAAATGGGTTATCAACAATATCCACAACAACCACCAATGCAAGGTTACCCTCAAATGCAACAAGGTTATCCACAACAACCACCAATGCAAGGTTATCCTCAACAACCAATGCAAGGCTATCCACAACAGCCAATGCAAGGTTACCCTCAACAACCTCAAATGGGTTACCCACCTCAAATGGGTTACCCACCTCAAATGGGATATCCTCCACAACCATTCCAATAATTGTGTACTATAAATTTGTAATTTAAACTAGCAATTTAATGCTTATCAATGAATTTATTGTAATTTCAATAATGGAATCTAAACATCAATCACAAACCAAGTCAACTTTAAAAAAATGCCAAAACTCAAACTCACAGTTATTCATGCTCGGGATTTAGATGCCAAAGATATGGGTGGCACTTCAGGTAGGTTAAATTGTTGACATAATATCAAATCATCATGACTCTTTAAAGACCCATTTGTCAAAATTAAAATTGGCACTCTTCAAGTTAAAACTGAAATTGTCAAGAAGAATTGTAACCCAGATTGGAATGCTGTTTTTAATTTGGATTTGCCAGCAAAATTTGATCCAGAATTTGAAAGTATTTACTTTGATGTTTATGATTATGATAGATTTTCATCAAATGATTTGATTGGAAAGACATCTGCTCGATTGGACAACTTGGAAAAAGGAATAGCTCAACAAATGACATTGAATTTACACAATGCACACAAAGGAACACTCACCATTGAGTTACTAGCTGAGGATTTTGGAATAATTCCAGAAATTAAACCACCAACTCTGCCAACACAACAATCTGTTCACAACAGAAGTGCCACTCAATTGAATTATAATCATTCGAATATTAATAATTTTAACACACAACCTCCCACTCCTCCACCTCCACAATACGATAGCAGCAATTCATCTCCTCCTCCACCTCAATACTATTCGAATAATCAATCATCTGTATCACCTCCTCAATACCCAATTCCTAATCAACCTCCTCCTCAAAATGATAACTCATTCAATTCACAACCTCCTCCTCCCCAATATTCAGATCAATCTCAATGTCAACCACCACCACCTCAATATTCAGATCAATCTCAATATCCAAATCAAAATTTTCAAGGGTATCCACCAATTGGTTATTCTCAACCACCACCACCAAGTTATCCACCACAATATAATCAATAAATGTTGAACTATAAACCTTATTAGTCCGACATGTATCCTTTTTCACAAAAGTCAAGCGTCATATCAATCAAAAAAATGCCAAAACTCAAATTAACAGTTATTAACTGCCGAGATTTAGATGCAAAGGATCGAGGAGGCACTTCTGGTAAGTTTATTTCTCATCAAATTATCTTGTTTAACATTCCATTAATTGTTTAAAGATCCATTTGTCAAAATTCAACTCGGTACCATTCAATTACGAACAGAAGTCATCAAGAAGAATTGCAATCCAGATTGGAATGCCACTTTCCACATGGATTTACCTTCAAATTTTAATCCTGAGATAGAAACTATTTATTTTGAAGTTTTTGATTATGATCGATTGGTGAATGATGTGATTGGCAAGGCATCAGTGTCATTGGACAGTTTGGAAAAAGGAATAGCTCAACAATTGACTTTGAATTTGCACAATGCACAAAAGGGAACACTCACAATTGAGTTGTTAGCTGAAGATTTTGGAATAATTCCTGAGAAAACACGAAGTGGTCAATTGAGCACCACTACACAACCTCCAGCATATGAAGATTCTCCTCCTCCTGAATATTATGATTCTCAAGGACATGCCTATCAACCCATTCAAGACTAACCACATGTAAACCACATGTGTGTCCATCATTATCCATCACAATGCCCCTAATTCAAATATCATTTCAAAATCAATTTGGAAAATTAATGAATAAAAGCTTATAAGCGCAGGAACTTTGGAATCTTAATCCTTTCGTTTCCTCCACTACGACGACAACCACTACGTTTATTCCTCTTCCTTCGTACGACCAAAATTACTCCAAAATAAACCTTTTTCTTTGAGAGTATTTTAATGTAAAAATATTACATTTCCAATTTTGTAACAATTCCAAAAGAGGCAATTGTTTGAAATAAGATCATTTCAAATTGAAGAAACAAATTTTGAAAAAATGAATCCAACCAATTACCAAGCAACAGTCAATTCTACTTCGTACAGTAATTCTGCCTATCCAAGTAATGGAGAAATCCCTCCACCTCCTCAAGCGATTCATTATACATCGCATCCATTCCATGAGAATTTGAAACAAAATCTGATTCCTCCTCAGCAACAACAGCAGGTTTATACTACAACAGCTGAAACAACCTCAACTCCTCTTGTGAATAGACAAGAACATCCCTACACAAATGCTGGAACCAACAATTGGTTTCATGAGAAACATCAAACTGACAAGGCAAAGAATGCCTTTTTGATTGCTACTGTCATTTCATTTCTAGTATTCTTCATCTTTACACCCTTCTTTGCTTGCATTCCATACATGTTTGTCTTTAAATATTCAAGTCATGAAGTGAGAGGAGCAAGAAAATATGGACAATTGGCAAAATCAACATTTTGGTCATTGGTGGCATTCAATGTCTGTCTGTCCATCCTCATTGTCATTATCACATTGGCAGTTACACTACCAAAAAATCATTAAGATTGTGTTTTCAATAAATCAATTGAGAGGAAGCCCAAACAAAGGCACATTTGAATTCATTTCTAACCTGTTCATCTGAAGCTTCTGGGTGTGCACTAAACACCACAACCCTTCCCTGACCATATTGATTGGCAATTATGGAGGGAGTATCGATCATGACTGATTTGGATTCCAAATCAACCTTCTTCTTTGTGAATTCTTGTTTGAAATTTTGTAAAACCATCGATTGTCCAATCTTGTTTCCCGAATACTTTTCACGAAGTTTTTCATCTGTAACTGGTGTAAAGAGAGGTCCATTTCTGTAATAGACATTTCTAATAGAGTCGTTCAAGTTTGAAACGAGAATATCAGAACCTTGTGGAGTGTTTTCACATTGACAAATCAAGAATATGATAGTCAATCAATCCATAATTCCAGAAACTTAAAGAAGCATCATACGCTGTGCCTATTTTTCATTCCATTCAATATTAGAATATTCAATAAATATCACAGATTACCTACATGCTAAATAAGCTCCAGCACAACATCCAATATAACCTCCTCCCTGTTCCAAGAACTTGATAATTTCCCTCTTTCCTTTTCCTCCCAATTGACTAGCATGTGCAGGACCCAATCCTCCTCCACAAAACACAACATGTATCTTTTTAGTTATCAATTGACCATTTCCAATATCATTCGGATCAAATTGAATACATTCAAATTGAACTCTTTTCAAATTCAACAAGTGAGGCATCATCTCATGTCCATCACTGTGATCATCTTTCTTAATAATTCTCTCCTTAGGATGTGAGGTATCAGTCAAGGCTTGCAACAGGTCTTTCCAATGTCGATCGGCTCCATCTTTTTTATAGACGAAACATGCCACCCGAATCATTAAATTTGCCTCTTTTTTATCATCATTGGGAAGGGAAGGTCCAATCTTTTCCGTAACTTTGGAGAAGATTAATTGACGACGAAGTAAAAGCTGTTCCTCAAGTGATGCCATTTTTTTTTTATTGTAAATTTTGTGGCAAGTTCATCAGCGCTGATTGGAAATGTGAACTTGTCATTGTAAAGATGCGAATTAAGATTACAATGACAATTATTGAAGTTTTGAGAAGAGTTTCAAACTTTCAATTTATTGATTATTTGATTGATTATTCGAATTTGGAAAGAGAAGATGTTGATTTTGGAGAATAAACCTTAGAATGTCTTGTTGTGAAATTGTTTCGTTTGAGGAGGACGAAACATTATTTGGTTGCATGGATGTCTGATTCAGTTGTTGCTGATCTACCATTTGTGGCAATTGATTATTCGAATCATCATTGGATGGAAATCGAGCATTCATTATATATTGAGATAGGTTCGTCGAAATATTCGAAACTTGAGGATCTTGATTAAATAAATGTTGTACAAAATTGGAGGTTGGATTGGAAATTGGAGAATTATTCAATGATGAAGAATTCGATATTTGATTTTGGCTTAATACGCTTTGTAATTGTTGTTGATATCGTTGAATTAAGAGTTCAACAATTTGTGAAATGAGTTGAAGGGATAAATTATTGAGTTGATTTTGGGATGTTGTGGAGGAGGTACCATGTTGCATGTTGTTGCCACTTGTCATGAATAGATTTGAAGGATTAGTATTTGAAACTAAACTTGTTGGACTAGTTGTGTTATTATTGTGCATGTTGTATAACATGTTATCAGATGAAGATGCACCAGATGAAGATGACATGTTTGGTTGCCTGCAAAGCAATTTATCCAACATGGATATCATGGAATCGTAATCAAAAGCCATAGATGAACCATTCGAATCATTATTCGAAACTTGGTTATTGGCCAATACTGATGCTAGCAAGGCAACTGCCGAAGACACACCACTATTACCCGCATTATTACTATTCAACGAGGATTGTAGTTGTAAAAAATCATTAAGGGGATTCTCAGTCAATTTATCCATGCCAGAAACTTCACGAACAGATGAGGAATTACCAAACTTGAACACCGTATTACCATTCTCATATCCACCTAATTCACACTGTTGTTGATTTGCAAGTTGTTGTTGTTGATGTTGTTGTGGATACTCAATAATCACATGTGATACTTGTTGTTGTTGTTGACTCGATTTCCTAGCGTTATGAACATGTACAGCACTTGTCGAATTTACAACATGTGGAGTAGTACTAGACAGATTATTATTCGAAAGTAATGCTGCTGAAGTATTATTGTTATTGGAAGAGTTTGAAGAGGAGGAAGACGAACATTTTCGTCTAGAATTTTTTCGGTGCGGATTAGTTGAGATAGTTTGATTTTGAGATTTTCTTGATGGAGAGGAAACATGTTGAGTTGTAGAATTAACAGTAGCATTATTAGATGTGCTAGATGTAGTATTGTTCACGACAGGTGTCAGTATGAAGTAATTATCTTTAAAATTGGTAGCGCTTGTCATTAGTGGTTTTTCGAATGCATAGACCTTGATGGAAGGATCGATATCTTCGATTGAATCCAAAATTTCCTCTTCATTATTATTACCATTATTTAAATTGTCGTTGCTGCTGTTTGGTGTTGATGATTTTTGTTGTTGACATGTATTCGAAAGGAATGGAGGTAGATTTTTCTTTCGCTTCTTTCTTAGTTTCTTATTGACATCGAGTGTTGTCTTGTCTGTTTCGTCTACAATGTTAAATTGTGATGGGTCTGATGATGGATTTTTGTGTTGTTGCTGATTTGAATAGTTTATGCCTGGTCTTTGTCGTTTTGAGAGAATTGTTTGGGGCATTTTCACATGTAGATAACCAACAGCAGATGAAGCACTATTCGAAACACTGTTCGTTGCCAATTCCTCCCTTGAAGATTCGTCACTTTCCGACATAATTATTCGAAACTATTCTCTCAGTAATGGAACCTCAAAGTGAGAGATGTGTTCAATTTTTTAGAGTTTCTTATAACTTTGAAACTGTCACTCGACCACTAAAACACAATGGAGTCCACAATCTAATAGCAAAAAAATTTCACTCTATGGCTCTTTACTTCCGTACTTGTAGCGACTTGGCGTAAAAATAGAATCTCGGATTCTTAAGATTAAATTGGATGTGATTTGAGATATATCGCAGATTTTACTCTCTTTTGCTTTGGTCCGTTCTATTTGGTAATTCTTATGATTCTACAGTTCTTAAAAATTTAAAAGAAATCAATTGATAGAGTTTCGAAGCAAGATCTTAGATATTATAATATTAAATAATATTATAAATAAATGATCAGGTAGGTACCTACCCCTTTCAAGAGTCAATTATATTTTTGGCGGGAAACAACTCAAACCCTTATTAAATATTTGATGTGTTGATGATTTTAAAGATATAAATAATTGATTATAATTAATAATAATAATACTAATAATCACTCTGCGCACTACTAGTCCAAGAATCACACACCACCTGATTACTCTCTTAAAATAAATATTAAGCGATATGATGATGAACAACACTTTAGAAAAAAAGAAAGCAAATTGCAAAGCAATGAAATGCACTCTTGTTGAGGCTGTTTGTTTGAGTTGGTTATTACCAATTCAACAACAAGAACAACATCACCAACCAGGCAACAATGAGGTGCGCACTACTTCCTCTCATCTTTTGGTGGACAAGATTTAAATCAACAACTTTCAATGGTAGCACCACTAACCGAGATTCAAGTGAGGTGATGGAACATCTTGAAAGAACAGTTTGCTTGGTGATAATGGGGGTGTGCTTTGCCATATATGTGTTTTGTTGCTAAATTACCTTTTGTTCTTGTTGGTGTGAAATAATTTCACATGTTGATGGAGTAGTGACGCACAACCACTCCATGCTAAACACTTGATTCATGTTCATTCTTGACAAACATGATGTCAATTTACATCACCATGATTACATGAAGGAAAACAAAAACTTGGTAAGTACTATTGACAAACAGTTCTTAATTATTTCCAACTCTGCAGAAGTAAAAGATCTAATCAAGATGAGTATCTCTCTTATCATCACACATACATCTCCATCCAATGTGTGGATTTTCATTCAGACATGCCCTTACAACATCAAAGAGTAGACATGTAATCTTCTCACATACTGTCATGTGCACCAACATGTACATGACTAGATTTCATCATAACTTTCGCATGCAAACATGCCTTCTTCATCATCTCACATGCATGGCTTCCTTTAAACTATTTTCAAGGTGCCTTGAATTTTGGGTATTTTATCTAAAAAATCTCAATGGACTGTTGAGGAAGTACCGTAGTGCAATTGTCCAATTAAGGGGAAATAAGCATCCAAATAGGTTAAATGCCCTTAATTCAAAGTACTAATTGGTTTGGAATATTCGACTTAATGGGGAGATTGTGGAGATCATGTTTTCATAGTTTGAAGATTCTCTATTGGATGTTGAATGAATTATTAGAAATGTTTTCGTAATTGGGAATGAGTGAACTCGACAGTATATTACCTTTTGAGGACGACTGTAAATGAAATATTCATCAACATCTTTAAAACATTGCATTTAACGTAATTTTTATTGAACAGTTTCACTTTTGTAATTAGGATCTTTCACAAGTTCATTCGAAAGATCACATGAAACAAGATCATCTCGAGTGGTGATAAGAAACAAATTGTAATTGTATGGAAATGTTGCTTTCCTTCATGAATTTTCAATTTCAACGAATATCGACAACATTTGGATTTTCATTTAGCTTGATATCTGGAAATCACGTTCAACAAGAGAAATCTTTCATTCAAGAAATCGGCGTGACACCTCAAAAATGGAAAATAACAAACTGACCAACATTTGTCACCAAACACTTAAAAAATGTGGCAGATTGCAATAACGAAATTTATTTGAAATAGTTTCAAATCGACATTGAATGATTCTACTATTATTGTCAATACTCATTCTCAATGAGATGAAATGCTTTCAATCCATCCATTCTCATCCATTCTCATAAATTAGGCAACTTTCTTTGAATCATATTCAGAAGATGAAGACTTT